TTTCACTTTACACTTACTTCTCAAAATTTCCTTCTCTGCCTATCCTATTTCCCTACCCCCCAAAGCTCTATAACCACCGTTTTGTATGAGAAAACGCTGGGATTAGAGGTATATAAGTGAGCCCACGTAAGTCACTTTTACCTTTATTAATTCAAGGATGAGCGGACACAGATCTGTTTGAATTCTCATAGCAAAAACCTCTGGTTCAAAGCTTGTTTGCTTCGAGAACCCAGTGGATCAATGTGTGTCTATTCCTGTGTGACGTTTATATGCCAGCTCTGGCCACTTAACTCTTTTTTTTCTCCCAACTAAATTTGTTCCCCGAATGACCCTTTTTCATCTATACACTTATACTTCTGTTTCTATTATCTTCTTTTTCCTTCAATGAGCTTTATTCTTTCTGTTTTCCTTCTTATTACTGCTTTCTTTTACCCCTTTTATAGTATTTTCTTGCAATCACTCATTGTTGTCATTATTTTCATTGAATGTTTTACATTCGTTAATGTTCCTTCGCAATTTATTTTAATCTACCACTTTGAGTTTTGCTACATCCTACCAGCCCGGTCTTTGTTTTTTTTTCATCACTTACAGTGAGTTTGCTATCTTCTCTTTTGCTACTGTGACCCTTATTCTCTGAAATAAAGGGTATATTAAATTACGTTATTAAGCGGATGCTTGGCAGTAAGTGCAATGTGCGAGTTCCCCACAGTCAGCAGCGAGGTCTCTGGGTTATTCTTGGTTTGCAAAACTTCCAGTCTGGTTTTATGAAAAAAGCTGATTTTGTCTGTATGAATTTTGGACACTGGACTGCTTGGAGATCGATTGCATGCTCCCAGGAGGTTATTTTGATCTTTTAGACTGTCTATGTTGACTCCCCTTGCCTATTTCCAATTAGTATGGGAGTACCGCTGCCCTCTTGGCTACTGAGGTATACTTGGCCATTTTGTTGGTTTCGGTTACAATTGTATTTCATCACACGGTTGAATAAAGGTGGGGAATCACACGATGCCTTTCGATTCCCTAAAATCTCACGTCGAACCTTGCATTTCTAGTTGTTATTATATTGTCCAGTAAGCGTGTTCACTTAACGCAATTTTTTGTGACTGCTGGGTAGTAAACACAGTTTTGCTGCGTAGGATCAATAATTCCCTAGGCGCATGAACTTAAGTTCAAGAGCACTCAGATGCTCTCAGTGGAACGCCAAAGTGTGCTTTTTTGTCTACTTGTTTTTACGCGAAAATTGTTCGCTATCTAAAAGAACTGCAACAGTTTGCTTTCTGACCGGCGAAGCTTTCTACGGTTCGCCAGTTTAGGCAAATTAAATCGCTACTTGCTGATCCGCTAAAGCAAAGCCCAAAATGGCTTTTCTGGGTTCTCTAAAGCAGGCTATTATTTTTATTATTTCCTCGATGTCGCCTTTTACTAGAGTTTTTTTAATCTTTTTAGGGCAGTTTTTCCGAGAAGGTGGATGCGTCGACTGCCCAGTTGGTTGCGCTTCCTCCTCGTGCTCTCAGGAAGGTGTTTGCACTTACTGCTCCGACACACATAGGTTCGTGCAGTCTCTAACGAAATATTAATATATATATTAACTACCTACTTATATA